GGGAGAGGAGGAGGGAGGGAGAGTTCCAGGCATAGAGGAGGGAGGGAGTGGAGGAGGGAGGGAGGGAGAGGAGGAGGGAGGGAGAGTTCCAGGCACATAGTAGCAAATGCTGACTGCCTTCTAACTCTTTTAAAACTAAAGTTAAAGTGAATAAAACACAGTCCTCCCATGTGCTTCTGGCCTGCATCTGTGGTTAGCCTCAAGCAGCTTCTGCAGAAAGCATGTGCGGTTTTACGTGATGCATTCTGAATGACCCAGCAGCCCCACGAGCCAGGCAAACACAGAATCTGCCTGTAAGATTCATCCGTTCCGTCATTCCTGTCACAGCTCGCTTGTACGGTGAGCACGGAGCTGCATGAGGTGGCCTGGGAGAGGAGCATGCTCCCACCACACAGGAACTTGGAGGACACAGTTCCTGGTCTTACTGCCAGAGCATGGCAGAGCGGGCAACCCCTGCCCCAGGCCTGGCGAGGTCACACTTCTAGGCCACTCCTGTCACTTAGCTCTACGTCCAATCTCGGAGCTGCTAATTACACTTTCAAATATTGTTTACATCGATTTTCCTTTTCCTTTTATAGCCAAGAGCCGCAAATACTATCAATTCTGGGAAGAGCTGCATGTCCATATTGGTACAAAGCGAAGTTTTTTCAGTCATTCTTGGGTGAGGTATAAACAGCCACGCAAGGGATGGCCCGGGAGGTCGCAAGAGCACATGTTCGAAGTCTCAGGACGCTGCTCTTGGACCGCAGCCGCTTCCTCCCGGGCCTCGCAGCTGGGCAGCACACGTCCTGGCCTAGGGAGCTGCACGCCTCCCCGCCCCATCCGCAGAGCTCTTTGTTTTCCTGGGTGTGGTACAGCACAAGCCTCCCTTGTGGCTGTATGTGTAAGGACAGAACAGTGGCTGGCACACAGTAGGTCCCCGGGAACATCTGCATCGATAAACACTTTGACAAATAATCTCCCGTTACTCTTCTGGTATGCTGGACAGGTTCATACTTTAAAGCAAGCATCCCCTGTGAGTCACCGTGTGTATGTGAAACACCACAATAAGCTACAGATATCCCTATTCGGATTACACTGACGAGGCCAAGGAAATTACTACAGGAGCCTCCAAATTCATCACGTTAACTCGCATCCTCAGAAAATTCATTCCTGAGGGTTTATTTCACTGGAATGTCTCTCTTGGGACCAGAAGTCTCTTCCCCCACTCTGGGAAATAAGGATGGATATAGTAGTAACGGAGCTCAGGGTTTTTCATCTTCCCAAGCCATTAAAATGCAAATCTGGGGAGGAGAGAGACCCGCAGGGAGGTCCCCAGGCACTCACATCCATCCGCCGTGCGCACCTCCATGTGTACCAGGTCTGCCTCCCTGTCCAGTCCAGCCACCGACCTGGGGAAGGAAGGAGAGACAGGCTCAGTGACAACGGCACAGGGCGAGGTGGGAAGCACTTGGGCTGCTCTTGGAAACCCTCCATCCAACAGGACTCTCCGCACCGGCGGGCCAGCAGAAGAAAGCCGCTGCTTGCCCCAGCAGTAGGTCGGACCTAGGCACTGCCACCCACACAGCCACAAGTGCGAGTCCTAGATCAGTGTCGATGACTCAGGACCACTGGATGAGAAGTGAACACAGACTCAGCAGGAGCGCTGGCCCATGCCCGTTTTCACCCCTTCTTCACAACCTGGCACCTCTACGAGCTCCTCCTTCTCTAGGTCTTTGCCCTGAGTCCTTCCACCACCTGCTGCCCGCTGCCCTCTCATGTGGAGCGTGAGTCCCTGCCCTCTCGGTTGGCATCCATGTTTACCCTCCTGAACTGATCCTACCTGCCCTTCTTTCCTCCTTCCTTGCAAACAACATTTTTCAGCAGCAAACACTCAAAATCTGATTTGACAAGGACAAGCTGCTCCTGGTAATTGGGTTGAGAGTGTCTAGCCAGCAGTTAGAAGCAAGCTAAGAACCCCTACAGATAATCCTATCGACCTCTGAGCCCCACAGGCATGGCACAGTCTTCTGCCCTATATGCAGGTCAGACTCAGAGTCCCTGCTGAGAGCACCAACACACACAGCAAACGCGTGTGCACCGAGCAGTCTACCAGCAGCCCCTTCTCCCTGGTGAGCTCTCACTCACAATCTATTTTAAACAGCAGCTTCAGATTAGTTTTCTGGTTTTCCAGCCTTTATTAGGTAAGAAACAGCAAGTTGGGAGGAAAAAGTAGATTAATGTTGAGAGTCAACAGCTCATATCTAAATAGCAGGAGAAATAGAAAGCAGATGAAAAACAGACCTAAGAACTGAAAACCAAATCTTGCACACCATGAATCCCTACGCTTCTCGAGAGCCCAGGGGAGTTACCGCCTTACAGCATAGTTCAGGGGCTGAAAATATAAGAAGAAAGCAGGGTTGAGTGCTATCCAACACTCTCTGTTTAAGAAACTGGGTTAGCAGGTGATATATTTTAGAGAAAATAAAATTACATTTGTCTGTTAAAATGATTGTCTTGAAAGGTGAAACTTCAGTTACCTAAGAAAGAAGTCGAGTAACTGAGGTGTGGTTTAGATTCCCCAACAGTCACTGGTATAGTGTCTTTCTTTTGTAGCCTCATTTGAGTCTAACAGCAAAACTCTAAAGCAAGAATATCAGGCATCTGGGCTGGGCAGATAGGTCAGTAGAATAAGTGCTTGCCTGGCAAGCACAAGGGCCTGAGTTCAATCCCTGGTTCCACCAAAAACAACAACAACAAAAAAGTCAGGCGGCGTCATTAGTCAGGTGTGGCTGCAGGAGAAACTGAGGGATGAACCATTGTCCCAGGTCACATGGGATCTTGGCCAGAAGGAGGAGGACACCCCACCTCCCCAGCACCTCCCCACCACCCCCACTGTCTAGAAGGATGGGCCATGGCACCAAAAGGCCTAAAGTCCCCGGCTGTGCAGCCAACTTTGAAAATGACTGCTTTGTTCCGTCACATTCCTTAGGTAACTGCCAACACATTTCTGGGCCTTGCTCGCTTAGGTATAAATGTTAAGGAAGTAGGACCTCATCTTCCTTATTTTTGAACCAATGGTGCCCATGCTTCTAGTAACACCATGTGCTACTGACGTGTTTATTAGTGCCAGAAACAACCCAATCTAGCGGTGAGGTCAGAGTTCACTGTGGAATGCCCCTGGCCACCAACACAGAGCGGCAGGGCGCCGGGTGGCTGTGCGGACTCCTCCTCTGCCCGCAGGCCTCTTGCTTTCATGAACAAGGTGACTGTCTGGATGAGCAGCTCCCGAGTGTCCCTGCACCCTCCCACAGCCACCAGCAACACAGCAGAGACACACCTGGAGTCCTGATGACCAAGCCCATTGTGGACATCAACTGCTATGCTCTGCTAACAAAGGTCAGAGCACTTAGCTCCTAGGGGCTGAGAATAAGGGGAGCAAGCCAGTGAAGCCCCCCGAGAAGCCCTCACCTTCCCTCTCCTTCCCCAGGCGTGCTCGCACCCTTCCATCCCTCTGAGGCCCTGCACGTATGTCGTCAAAGCTGAAGCCAGGGGCAGCCAAGTAGCTCAGTGGATTAAAGTGTCTGCCAGCAGGTGCAGGGGCTGGGGGTTTAATCCCCAGGCTGTGCCAGCCCCACTCCAGGGCACACCGAGATGGCAATTAAGACTGGGCATGGTGGCGTGCACCTGTGATCCCAGCACTTGGGAAGCTGTAAACAGGCAGATCACTACGAGTCCAATCTATGCAGTGAGACCCTGAACATCCTGTAGATCCTTCCCTAAAATACAAAAAAAAAAAAAAAAAAAGCTGAAGCCAGTAACCAAGCCTTGCCGCAGTCCTTCTCCGGTCACCAGAGCTCAAAGGGAGCTGCTTCATAGTCCTACCTAACCCATTGTCCTGCGTGCACATTCAGATTAAGATTTTTCTTTCTCTTGAGTTGGTCTTGTCTCACAGATAACTGTGTTTTGTTTTTATTTTAAAGAGAAAAACAAAAATGATACAGAATTTCAAAGTAAGATGATAAAAAATTTAAAATGGTTGTTCTGTAACATTTTGTTACCTTCAAAGTAGTTGTTCCGATTACCAGGTCCAGCACACAAAACTGACCAAACAATAGAAGCACGCACTGTTCCTCTCAATGAACTAACAGAAATTAGTAGTACCTGAACTCTCGTATCTTGTGTCTCTCTATGTATCTTTCCCCTTTCTTTGCTCTTTCCCCTACCCCAGCGGTTCCTTCCTGTGAGCAACTTCTTTCCCTTTCCCTATACCTCTTGCACCTTTTGGACCTGGCTTACTCTTTCAGGTTCTGACACTAGGGAGACAATGTGATGTTTGCCAAGGGAGTCTGACTTATTTAATTCATGAATATTGTCTATAGTTACATCTATTTATAAAAGGCTCGAATTTATCTTTCTTTACAGCTGAGTAGTACTCCACTGTATAAAAGTACCACATCTCTTTCCTCCATTCCTCGGTTGACGGGTGTTCAAGCTGTTTACAGGATTTAGCGTCTACAGAGTGTGCTGCTACCCACACGGGTGCACGCTGGGTATGCTTCGCCCTGTGGTGCGATAGCTGTGGATTTTCTCTACTTAGTGAACCTTTCCTCCTGCATCCTGTATAGATCTGTTCTTCCTGACGCAAACCATGTATTTGTGGCTAGGCTGGCCGATTACTAGCAGCAGCCCATCCCTGTGAGCCCCCAGGATGTCCTCTGGCCTGCGTAGTAAGGAGCCATCCTAGCCACGTTAATAAGGACAGGCAAGGACATTTGGAAGACTTTCTTGGGATTCTACCCCCCGGAACCCAGAATTTTCTTTTTTTCTCTCGTCACCAGGGGAAATGTTTCCCACCTAAAAGGAAGACTAGGTCTACAAAATGATGTGATTCATAATTATTAAAATAATGATACACAGAGACAAAGAAAAAAGAAAACCCTGACAATATAACCAAGATACAAGGAGAAAGGAAACAGCATAAGGACAGTGGTCAAGGAGAAACTGAGACAGAAAGACAGAGACCAGCAGGCACACAGAGCCAGAGAGACAAATATCCACAGAGAGAAACAGAAATACACACAAAGACACGAAAAGGAGCAGAAATAGTAACAGTGCACATGCGCATGCACACACACACACACACACACACACACACACACACACAAATTTAGACTTTCACACTAACTGTTAGACAGCTTGACACAACTCCTATGTGAATGCGCTCCTTTCCCAGTCCTGTTCGAGCTGCCCAGCTTGCTCCTTCGTGCACCCAGCTCAGGGGCCTGCTGTGTGTTTGCTTGCCTGCCCTGTCTGTGACCCACAGGATGGCCCTCGCTAACTCACAGCTATCAGCAAGAAGCTTCCTAAGGGTGGGGACCGGAGCTGTCTCTCTCCCACATCTGCCCCAGCACGCAGCCCGGGATTAGATGCCCCCTCGGATTGCAGGTTCAGGATAAGAGAAGTCAAAGCCGCTCTGCCCTTGAGGTGCGTAGGAGGAGATGAAGCTGGCCAGAGGTGGAAAAAAATAATTTGGGAATCAAGGTGAGGGGCACATTCTCGGCCGCACTCTGAGCTGTTGTCCCTGGACCCTCCGCCAGCGTGGGGAGGCCACTGCCCACTTTCTGCAGCTTTGCTTTACGTTTCCTGACATTAGTCCTGTTGACATTTTCGGCCAGGTAATTCTTGGCGATGGGGGACGGCCAGTGCGCCGCAGCACAGTGAGCTGCAGCCCCAGCTTCTGTTATCCTTGCAGTGAGGACGACGAAGCCTGCGGCTAGGAACCGCTGTCCATCTCCTGGCAGGGTCCAGAACACTCCTAGCGGAGAACTGCTGCCTCGCCTGGTCACGGGGTTGCCGCCTGGATGCCGGCTTGTCCCTGCTAACAAGACAGCAAGCAAAGCGTTCATGCACTTCCTCCTCCAGAGCGTGGGGCAGCACGCGTGTGGCCGAGGAGCCCAGGAAGTGAGGCGCTGCTGCCTGGCCCCCTGCTCCTCCCTGGCCCTCTTCACATCATCCACGCAAGCTGCTCCTTTCTTAAAGCCCCCAGCCCCCAGTGCTGGAAACGGAGCAGCAAATATACGCACACAGACACAGCAAAGAAAACAAGACCAGGGGGGTGGGGCTCCAGGCTTCCATGCTGTGCTGGTCCCACCACTGGGGCACACAGAGGACGACTGAGTCCGGGAGTGGGCATGGTGGCACACGCCTGTAATCCCCGCACTGTGGAGGCTGAAAACAGCAGGATCACTATGAGTCCGAGCTGTGTGGCAAGACCCTGTACCAAATACATAAATGAAAAAAGAAAAGTCTGGTGAGCCCTTGAGGCTCGGGAAGGGTAAAGTTGTAGAAACGTTGATAAATACTAATGGGTATTGTCTGTCAGACACAGGATTTGGTTATTTCTAACCAT